GCGGAAAGAACAGCAATGTAGGGCCCCCCGCTTTGTGTCTCCACATGGAGACACACAGATCCCAGGAGGGATCACCCACAAACCCACACTGACCCCACAACACGGACCCCGCACATAGACCCCCTAGTCCCACACAGAGACCTCCCACAGATAAAAAGTGACCCCACACAGAGGCCTCAGACAAACCCACTGATCTCCCATAGGGATCCCACTAGCCCCTCAGAGAGACCTGCCACAGATTCACACTGCCCCCACACAAGGACCTCTCACAGACCCCTGCTTAGCAAACTCTCCCAGTGACCTCTCAAATCACTATGCAGAGATCTGTCTCTGAGACCTCCCACACAGACCTCACAGGCGCTCTTTAGAATCTGAGTATCCACTCATTGTGCAGAGTACATCATGAGAAACGCTGGGCTGGAAGAAGCACACGCTGGAATCAAGATTGCCAAGAGAAATATCAATAACCTCAGATATGCAGATGACACCACCCTTATGGCAGAGAGTGAAGAGGAACTAAAAAACCTCTTGATGAAAGTGAAAGAGGAAAGTGAAAAAGTTAGCTTAAAGCTCAACATTCAGAAAACTAAGATCATGGCATCTGGTCCCATCACTTCATGACAAACAGACGGGGAAACGGTGGAAACAGTGTCAGACTTTATTTTTATGGGCTCCAAAATCACTGCAGATGGTGATTGCAGCCATGAAATTAAAAGACACTTACTCCTTGGAAGGAAAGTTATGACCAACCTAGACAAAGACCCTGATGCTGGGAGGGATTGGGGGCAGGAAGAGAAGGGGACGAGAGAGGATGAGATGGCTGGATGGCATCACCGACTCGATGAAAATGAGTTTGGGTAAACTCCTGGAGTTGGTGATGGACAGGGAGACCTGGTGTGCTGTGATTCATGGGGTTGCAGAGTCAGACATGACCGAGCGACTGAACTGACTGAGCCACTCATTGACAGGGCCTTCATGGTAGGTCTGATGTCAGTTAACAAACCTTGTGCATTGGTGTTTGGAATGTAAATTGGTACAACTAATATTTAAAACACTGTGGAGATGCTTCAAAAAAATAAAATTAGAATACTATGTGATCCAACAATTTCACTTCTGATCATTTAGCAAAAAGAAACAAACATTTTTATCTGACAAAGTTATCAGTGCTTTTCTATGCTCTCTGAAACATTAATCACAAAATAATGGTACAGAAAGAAATTTCCTGTTTGTGGTAGAGAAATGCATAAAGAAAGGTGATATACACACATATGTAACATACAAAATGAGATATTATTCAGCCTTAATGAAAGTTAACCCTGACATTTTCAAGAACACTGAATGAACTTGGAGAACATTATGCTAAGTGAAATAAGCCTGACAGTATCGCTTACATGTGGAAATCTAAAAGAAAAAAAAGGACTCATAGAACAGAGCAGCTGGTTGTGGGGGAAATGAGAACAGGCTGGTAAATGGATACAAATTTTTCATTATAAAATGAGAGACAAAATGAAGGAATAAGATCTGAGGAGCTAATGTACAACATGATGTCTCCTGCATTAGCAGGCAGGTTCTTTACCACTAGTGTCACCTGAGAAGTCCCTGAATTTGCAACCTGGGTTGCTATCACAAATTTATAAATTGGGTGATTGGTTTGCTTTAATAAAATGTATCTGAAAAAAAATTAATTAAGCCCTTTCCCTTGGGTGCTCCTTCTGGGTTGAGGCAATGATCAGCATGCACTTTGGACTTAACATAGCTCCTCTTGGATGCCTGTGGGCTTCTAGACCAAACAGCTGCTCTCCACACCTACTACACTCCCCTAGCACATCAAATCCTGGTCACTTGGAGGGCTTTGTTACAAACAGAAGCCCTCATGGGATGAAGATTATTCTCTGGCAAACTCACATCCCTATGATATGATGGATAAGGGATTCCTCCTAAGAGGGACCCAGAATGGCCACAAATGCCTCTGGGCTAAAACAGAAATAGCACCATTACGAACAGGCTAAACCTGACATGGTGAGGGAAGACTCCCAAAGTCATTCGCTGAAGCTACCATCATCCTGATACTAAAACCAGACAAAGATGCTACCAAAAGAAAAAATTACAGGCCAATATTTTTTATGAATATCGATGCAGGAATCCTCAACAAAATACTAGCAAACCAAGTCCAATGATGCTTAAAAAGGATCATATACCATAATCAAGTTTGATAAATCTCAGGGTCATAAGGATGGCTCAATGTATGCAAAAGATTTAATCTGTTACATCACAACAAATAACAAAAACCACATGATCATTTAAACAGATGCATAAAAAGCATTTGATAAAATTCAACATCCATCCATGACACAAATTCTCACCAAAGTGGATATAGAGGGAACATATCTCAGCATAATAAAAGTTATTTATGACACAAACCCCAAGCCAACATAATACTGAAAGCTTTCCCACTAAATTCTGGAACAAGTCAAGGATGCCTACTACCACTATTTCTATTCAACATAGTATTGAAAGTCCTATCCACAGAAATTAGACAAAAAAGTAAAAATAAAATGTATCCATTTTGGAAGGGAAGAGATAAAACTATCATGTACAGATGACATAATACTCCATAGAAAACCCTAAAGGCTCCACACAAAAACAATTAGAACTGATAAATGAATTCAGCAAGGTAGCAGGATACAATATTAATATACAGAAATCTTCTGGATTTCTTTACACTAAAAATGAAATATTAGAGAAAGTAAAAAAAAAATTTGATTAAAATTATGTCAAAAAAATAAAATACCTAGGAATCAACCTGACAAGGCCATGAAAGACTTACACACTGAAAGCTATAAAAACACTGACAAAGGCAAATGAAGATTATTCAAGAAAATGGAAAGATATCCTATGCTCTGTGGTTAGAAGAATTAATGTTGTTAAAATGGTAATGCTACCCAAAGCAATCTGCAGATTTAATGCAATCCCTATCAAGTTGCCCATGATTTTTTTTTTTTTAACAGAACTGCAATAACTAATCCTGGGCTTCCATGGTGGCTCAGTGGTAAAGAATCTGCCTATCAATGCAGGAGATGCAGGTTTGATTCCTGGATTGGGAAGATCCCCTGGAGAAGGAAATGGCAATCCACTCCAGTATTCTTACCTGGGAAATCCCATGGACAGAGGAGCCAGATGGGCTACAGTGCCTGGACAGGACTTAGCACATAGACAACAAAAGTAAATAATCCTAAAATTTATACAGACCCACAAAAGACTCAGAACAAGAACAAAGCTAGAGGCATAACACTCCCATACTTCAGACAATACTACAAAGCTACATTCATCAAGAGTGTGATATTGGCAGAAAAACAGACATACGGATTAAGGGAACAGAATGGAGAGCCCAGAAATAACCCCACATTCCCACAGTCAATTAATCTTTGACAAAAGAGGCAAGAATATGCAATGGACCAATATGCAGTCTCTTCTGCAAACGGTACTGGAAAAGTTGGACAGTCACAAGCAAATCAATGGACAGTCTCTCACAACATACACAAAAATAAACTCAAACCCACAGCAAGCATCACCCTCAATGGTGAAAAATTGAAAGCATTTCCCCTGAAATCAGGAACAAGACAAGGGTGCCCACTCTCACCACTACTATTCAACATAGTTTTGGAAGTTTTGGCCACAGCAATCAGGGCAGAAAAAGAAGTAAAAGGAATCCAGATAGGAAAAGAAGAAGTGAAACTCTCTCTGTTTGCAGATGACATGATCCTCTACATAGAAAACCCTAAAGACTCTACCAGAAAATTACTAGAGCTAATCAATGAATACAGTAAAGTTGCAGGATATAAAATTAACACACAGAAATCTCTTGCATTCCTATACACTAACAATGAGAAAACAGAAAGAGAAATTAAGGAAACAATACCATTCACCATTGCAACAAAAAGAATAAAATACTTAGGAGTATATCTACCTAAAGAAACAAAAGACCTATACATAGAAAACTATAAAACACTGATGAAAGAAATCAAAGAGGACACAAACAGATGGAGAAATATACCGTGTTCATGGATTGGAAGAATCAATATTGTCAAAATGGCTATACTACCCAAAGCAATCTATAGATTCAATGCAATCCCTATCAAACTACCAACGGTATTTTTCACAGAACTAGAACAAATAATTTCACAATTTGTATGGAAATACAAAAAACCTCGAATAGCCAAAGTAATCTTGAGAAAGAAGAATGGAACTGGAGGAATCAACCTGCCTGACTTCAGACTCTACTACAAAGCCACAGTCATCAAGACAGTATGGTACTGGCACAAAGACAGAAATATAGATCAATGGAACAGAATAGAAAGCCCAGAGATAAATCCACGAACCTATGGTCACCTTATCTTCGACAAAGGAGGCAAGGATATACAATGGAAAAAAGACAACCTCTTTAACAAGTGGTGCTGGGAAAACTGGTCAACCACCTGTAAAAGAATGAAACTAGAACACTTTCTAACACCATACACAAAAATAAACTCAAAATGGATTAAAGATCTAAATGTAAGACCAGAAACTATAAAACTCCTAGAGGAGAACATAGGCAAAACACTCTCCGACATAAATCACAGCAGGATCCTCTATGACCCACCTCCCAGAATATTGGAAATAAAAGCAAAAATAAATAAATGGGACCTAATCAAACTTAAAAGCTTTTGCACAACAAAGGAAACCATAAACAAAATGCAAAGACAATCTATAGTTGGGAGAAAATATCTGGAAATGATAAAACCGACAAGGGCTTAATTTTCACAACATAGAAACAGCTTATATAGCTCAGTATCAAAATAAAGCAACCAAATCAAAAAACGAGCAGAGGACCTAAATGGACATTTCTCCAAAGAAGACATACAGGTGACCAACAGGCACGTGAAAAGATGCTCAACATAACTAATTATTAGAGAAATGCAGATCAGAGCTTCAATCACCTCACACTGGTCAGAGTGGTTACCAACAAAAAGTCTACAAATAATAAAATTGGAGAAGGTGTGAAGAAAAGGGAACCCTCCTACACTATTGGCAGGGAATGTGAATTGTTGCAGTCACTACAGAGAACAGTATGAAAGCTCCTTAATAACCTAAAATAGAGTAACCATATGATCCTGCAATCCCACTCCTGGGCACATATCTAGAAAAGATGAAAACTCTAACTTGAAAAGATATATGCATCCTGATGTTCACTCCCGACAGCACAAGCAAACCTTAATCAGGGCCCTGTCAGACCCCCTGGCCACTCCGTTCACCTCCTCAGTGGCTCCCTGGCAGGACCATTATGATGGGAGCCTCTGAGATGGCTCCCTTCACCTGAGACAACACTGGAGATGCAATAAACATTGGACGGCCCACAAAAGTGCAGGACATAACGTCTGAGAGAGGACAACATGGATGGATGAGACATGAGGATTCATGCTATGACAACACTCCAGCCCATGACATGGCTGGACACAACTTCCTCCTGAATGCTGCCTCCACAACCTGCCACTATAAGCCAAGGTGACACCAAGGGAGACATGCGTTGGGACTTGGTTGCTGAATTGAATGTTTGCTTATCTAAATACCCTGCTGATGACCACTTCGTGTCGCATTTTGCAGAGCTCACTATATGTCTACCCCAAGGCCTCCTTGCTTGCTTACTATATATAACACTTGCTGCTTGAGTGTGAGATGGTGCTACGATTGCCAGGCTGCTCTCCGCCTTTGAGTTTTGGAAAACCAAGGTATGTGCTGAGTCTCATAACCTTTTTTACGCACTGAGCTTAGAATTCGTGCTCCAAGTTCAGTTTTACTTTTCCTGGAACACCTTTTAAAGTAGCAACTTACAGTTGAGCCCACCAAAGTTCAGTGACCTCCACCCCAACCACCTAAAAATTAATAGATGCATGCTACCCTGCTTTCTACCTCTTGCTGGCTCATAACCTGGGCAGAGGACTGCCTTTTCCCAGCTCCTTGCCCAACCTATCCCCACCATCCCCCAGGTCCAGGGTCTGACACTAATAACGCTTATGACTTGACTTCCTTTGTGTGTATGTACTGAAACTATGCCTTCAATCAAAACAACACTTAAGGTTTTCATTCCCTGAACACGGGAGTTTGGATGCTGAGGGAGCTGCCTGCCATTTCCTTGTGGGGCTGTGCCTCCTCACTCAGCAGGTCATAACCTGCATATTCTTAATGTAACACACCAGAAATCGCCCTGTGAACACACCTCACCCCAACATACAAGGGGCCATCTCAACTTCCTTCAAACATAAGCACCACCTGCCACACTCCTTGACTTCACAGATACAAAACATGTTTATGCACATCAACACAGCCCCGACACACACATACAATTTCCACCACCCTAAAGACACAACCACACTCAGAATCCCTGTAAAGAAACAGCTGCAAGCTGTAACGGAGATGAATTTGGTGACATGGACATGGGCCACCTGGGTTTCTCTTCAGGGAAGGCCTTGTGTCCTGAGTTGACAAGAGTATAGTTAGGAGGCAGTGTCAGCTCCCAGTTCCTTCAGGGACTGCTGGACTAGAGAGCTGCTTTGCCTACAGTCATCCCCATTCCAGGAAAGTTCATATCTGATGGACTGATGGAGGCAGAGTTAGAAATGCCCGGCCCACCCCTTCCAACTGACGACCTCTCTGAAGAGACAGTCTGGCTCCTCAGGTCCCATGGGGGTAGGGTGAAGCTGTTTTGGAGTTTGAGTCACTGTTCAACAGCCCCTCTGCCAAATCCTTTCTGCTTCTGCTCCTCACAGGTGTTGCTTAGTAAATATCCTGTTCCCTAAACTCTTTCTCTGATTCTGTTTTCCAAAAAATCCAAACTAGGACAACCATCATCATTTCTTCATTCAATTACTTATCAGGCATCAATGAACATGGCAAAGACCACTCTTACAGATTTACAGTATGTGGAGGAAATAGACAATAAACCCATAGCCCCATCGTAAACATGGACACAGGCACACAGACAGGGTATTAGAAGATATCTAGTTAGCAACTGAACTAAGGCTGCTTGATCTTCTTGGCTCTGCAGGTAGTAGTGGAAAGTCAAAATGTTAGTAACTTGGTCATGTCCAACTCTTTGCAACCACATGGACTGTAGCCTGCCAGACTCCTCTGTCCATGGGATTTTCCAGGCAAGAATACTAGAGAGGGTGGCCATTTCCTTCTCCAGGGGATCTTCCCAACCCAGGAATTGAACCCAGGTCTCCTGAACTGCAGGCGGATTCTTTACCATTTGAGCCACTAGGGACGCCCAGGGTAGTAGTGGGGAGCGGGGGTACAAAGAGACCTGTGAGCTGTTCAGAAATGGCCTTTCTGGTTAGGTTTCTGGGCTGTTCCCAGAGAAGAGGGCCTGAACTTTCTTCCTTATATACTGCAATTCTAATCTGGGCACACCATGTTTGTTGTTTAAAGCATGGAAGAGCTACAGGAAGAACCTGGACCATTGCCCTCCAAGATAACACTCCCTCTATTAGGGAGTGTTACTTGCAGCCACAGAAAGTGAGTCTGGCCATGCAGTGAGGGGGAGAGGACAAACGTGTACAAGCTGAGAAAGATCTAGCAGTTTGGCCCTGAAAATGACTCTAAACTCTTCAAAAACTTTGGGGGTTCCTCCTTAGGTTTAGAGAATTCTTTGCCTAGAGTTCTCAGTTCAGTCTTTAACCAAGGGATAGAAGATATCTGAGGAGGCTTGCCTGCAACCTCAGTTAGTTTTATTTTAAATAGCAATTGTTGAATATTCTCTTTGGAATAGAAAAGTAGTTCAGTCAAAAGGTTAGTAAAACATTAAGTCAGTCACTCAGTCATGTCTGACTCTTTGTGACCTCATGGACTGTATCCCACCAGGCTCCTCTGTCCATGGGATTCTCCTAGGCAAGAATAGTGGAGTGGGTTGCCACTGCCTTCTCCAGGGGTTCTGTCTGACACAGGGATTGAACCCAGGTCTCCCACATTGCAGGTGGATTCTTTACCGTCTGAGCCGCCAGGGATTGGAAAAGGATATGGTGGAATAGTAGGACTTGGGTCTACAGTCATACCTGTCCTATGATCTTCTGTTTCAGATAACTTTATCTCTTTAATTTTTCATTAGCTTTTTTTTTTTTTAATTAGTTGGAGGCTACTCACTTCACAACATTGCAGTGGCCTTCGTCATACATTGACATGAATCAGCCATGGATATACATGCATTCCCCATCCCGATCCCCCCTCCCACCTCCCTCTCCACCCGATCCCTCTGGGTCTTCCCAGTGCACCAGGTCCGAGCACTTGTCTCATGCATCCAACCTGGGCTGGTGATCTGTTTCACCCTAGATAATATACATGTTTCAATGCTGTTCTCGCGAAACATCCCACCCTCGCCTTCTCCCACAGAGTCCAAAAGTCTATTCTATACATCTGTGTCTCTTTTTCTGTTTTGCATACAGGGTTATCGTTACCATCTTTCTAAATTCCATATATATGTGTTAGTATACTGTAATGGTCTTTATCTTTCTGGCTTACTTCACTCTGTATAATGGGCTCCAGTTTCATCCACCTCATTAGAACTGATTCAAATGATAATTTTTCATTAGCTTTTTGCACTGAGTTTTTAAATGAAGATATTTTGGAATCTTGAAGGCTTATAAGTTTTCACATACATTAAAGTAAGCATCTCATTCCCCCTGTCCAAATGGGATCCCTTGCTCTACTGTGGTCCTTAAATGAACCATCTTGTCTGATTGGAACACTCCCCACAGTGGCCACTGTAATTCTAGATCAACATCACTAAAATTTTGCCATCCTTCTAGGTACAGCCTCCAGGACTACAGTTCTTTTTTTAATTTTTTTTTTTCATTTTTAAAATGTCTCTCTCTCTTTTTTTTTACAATATTGTATTGGTTTTGCCATACATTGACATGAAGCTGCCATGGGTGGACATGTGTTCCCCATCCTGAAGCCCCCTCCCACCTTCCTCCCCATCCCATCCCTCTGGGTCATTCCACTGCACCAGCCCCGAGCACCCTGTATCATGCATTGGACCTGGACTGGCGATTCGTTTCACATATGATAATATACATGTTTCAATGCCATTCTCCCAAACCATCCCACCCTCGCCCTCTCCCACAGAGTCCAAAAGACTGTTCTGTACATCTGTGTCTCTTTTGCTACAGGACTACAGTTCTTAAATATAAAATAAGCAAGTGTGCCAGAAGGTGGCATAATGAATTGTGATAAAGGCTCCATTTCCTTAGCTAGCCTTTGTCAACCCAAAACAAGGCAAGTATGCCAGGGCCTTAATATGTCAGCAGTAACCAAGAGATGCTACTATGTCTCAGCCAAAAGAAGGCCTGGCCTGTACCACCACAAATTCCCAGGGAACCTTGGAATGGGGGAAAGGGTCACACTAGCAAATTCCAAGGAATTGGGACTACACACTTAATTCCAAACAAAAAGGAGAACTATGGCTGTCACCAATAGTTCCCAGCATGGAATCTGGGGGCCAATGCTGATTCCAAACAGATGGGAAAGTACAGACTAAACTGTCAGCAGTTCCCAGGGAACAAAATTAGGGGCTAGCATTTACTACTCAAAAATAGATTGACAATAACCAAGAGATATTACTGTGCCCTGGCAATTTTGATCTGAAAGGCTAGGGGTTTGGCCTCAGGCAGAATCCCCTACCAGCCAAGCTGACCTGCCTTGTAAAGGAAAGTCAATCAGACTGGGAGCACAAACGCGAAGAGAATGGAGCTCAAACCAAAAGGAGCTTACCAACAACCTCCAGGAATGGCAAGAAGGACAGTGAATTCAAAGGATTTATAGACATCACACCTGTTTCTCCTTGTCCCAAAATACCATTAGACATTCCTTTCAGATTCCATCACCGCCACTAATATATTAAAAAAAAACTATTTAACTAAGTAAATTTGAAGATTTACTCTGAATTTGTAGCATACTGACTCTAGTAAATGATTTATGAATCAGGCGGCATCTCATGTGGAAGACAAGGAGATACTCCAAGGGGTTGCACATCATGGAATGCTCTTAAAATAAGGAAGGCAGGACAAGGAAAGGAAGCGATGAAAGTTCCAGTGGGGAAAAGTAAAAGTTCAGATGACAATGGCTTCTGATGGCAAAATTTTCTATTAGCTGGGTTTGTTGTTGGCCAAAAAGGAAATCTTCCCTCCTCCAGCTGGGGTAGTAATGGAGCTTCACTTCTTGTTTGGAGATTGCAAGGTATCAGTCTTCCTATTGGGATCAGTAATGACCTCTTCCTGCTAGGGTATTTGATGATGAGTGACAGGAAATGATAGCTCCCTCTACAGGCCTTCCAGACTCCAGTTACAGTTGAGTTTTCCTTTTATTAGAGTTCACAGCATGTTTTGTTGGCAGGAGGATTCACAATGAGGGAGAAAAGGCCAGAAGACTCACCACTAAGAAGGTTCAGAAATTCTTAGGAGGATGCAAGGGAGGCAGAACGTGACTACAGGGTCAGCTGGTGGCCACACTGACCACATGGCTCCATCTGATGACTTTGCATCTTGCTGTGGAATACTTAAAAAAAAAAAAAAAAAAGGTCACTTTATCCTATCAGAGAAACAAGAGACTGAGATGAGCTTCCCACTGCTAGAAGCATCCTCAGCCTTTAGAAAAGACCAGAGAACATGACTAAAGGATTTGGGGATATCAGAGCCATATCTCCTCAGAGTGGGACTCCCCAGTCCCTCTAGGTCTCAGTCCTCAACTGTCCCTCAAGGGACGAAGTCTTCCCACCTCCATCCTCGTCAGCTCATTGATCCCGAGAAGTCCTGCCTTACCCTGAGAACTTGGGTTTCCATGGAGCTAGGTTGGTTGAGACCTAGTGATACAGCTGACCAGCCTGATAATAGTCCCTATCACCCTGGGGCAGTTGGGCTCAGGGACACATGGCTTTGTAGACTTTCAACACCTAGACCCAGTGTGGAGGGTGTGCTTGCCCATCACCTGTGTCACAGAAGAGCCAGCAATACTTGGAGCTGTCCAGACAACTCTCAGGGAGTTTTCCTGGGAGAGCACTTGGTTACCTGACTTCTTATCCAGGAAGCCCTATGACTTCTGACTGCTGCCTGTCACACCAATAATGCACCTGTGAAGCTTCTCCTCTACAAGATCATCTGCCCACCAGACCCAATCTTCTAGGGGCCCAGATGCTAGGGCCATACAAATGCTGAAGGAGTGTCCACCTGTCTGAAGTACAGACACCCCTCTATCCATCTGCATGATTTCTGCTGGGAATCCCCAACTTTTATGGGAATTCTTTGACCAACCTGATAGGAACAATGTAATGATTCAGAATGACAAGGATCCATTCACACTTACAACCCCAGAAGCTCCATTCACAACCACATAAGTGTCCCATACATTCCCACTGATGCCCAAATATTCTTGTGTCATACATACATACATCTAAACACACACATCAGTGGTGTGCTGGTAAATGCTTAATAAAAAGTTCTCTGAGAAAGGTAGGAAAGACTTCATTTGTGGTGTGTACATGGTATAAATATTCCCAGCATGATCAGTTTCAAGCTACCTAGTTGACATCACTGAACACAGAACTGGGAGGAGATATGCACCATTGACTATCCCAAGCTAGTATGAACCAGTTTCAGCACATCCCAAATCTTTTCATATGAGTATGTGCACACAATCCACTTACACCCAGAGTAAGCCCCTCAACTCCCACCACAGATATATAAGCAAAAGGACACAACATACATATTCATATGTGTGTGTATGTATGTATATCCATACACATGTATTCTGAACACACATGTACATTTCTACTCTCATCTTGAATAAATATACACACAGACCACCTCTTACTACCTAAATTTTTATAGACAAAAACCTACTCACACTGAATATTCACATGCCACTCTTACAATTATATACATATACACACACAACATGGGCCTGAACTCAAACATGTGCAACCAATATATCACTCATATGTACACACTATACATGTATACACATAGGCTCATGAGGTACACAATTGTTTCATAAGCAACTCCCAAAAGACCCACATGCAATTCATAGCCCTAAAATACATATACTTCAGATTTCTGAACATACACATAACCTACACCATCTACTGAACTCTCACAACTGCCAGAATACTTAGCTCATAGCCCCAGGGATTCAAATACACACACACCCTACACTTATCAAATACAGCTGAACCTTGAACAACTTGGGTATTAGGATACCAACCCTCCATTCAATGCTTTTGTATCCATAGATCGTGTAGCAGTACTGTAGAATTTACTGAAAAAAAAAATCCACTAGGAGTAGACCTGTATGGTTCAAACCCATGATGTTATAGAGTTAATTATACTTATATAAGTCCAACTTACCAGTACTGAGAACACACAAACAAGCCACACTGCTAAATTCTTCAGGCGTTACATTTTTAAATAAACACAAAGAGGACACTAAGCCTCCTATACTCACAAATCACAAATACATACATCCATAAACTACTCATAAGTATATACCCCAAATGCTAAGACACACACAAAACACAAAAACACCGACAATTTCTGTTCTCTAATATACATACGCAATTCTCACACACCTATGGACACAGATGTGCAAATATTCCCAACCTCTGAACATAGAGATCCCCCTCAAACACTACCTCTCCAGAATACAACCTCCCCACTGCTCCCCAAACATATAAACAAAGGACACTATATACATATATCTACCCTCATGCTAATATACACAGACCACTTCTTACTATCTACTACCAAACACATGTATAAACACCCTAGCAGTTTCCAAAGAAATGCACTTAGAATAGTCCTAACAACTCCATACCTCATGAACAAATTTTGATAATTCATACACCCTTTGATGACATACACACAAATTACTACTCACAAGTAACATGCGTAGAAGTATCTCCAGGAAACCATTTATGAAATAACTTCCACATATCAAATGATCCCCAGCTAGCAGGAGCCAGCTCACACATCTGCAAATACTAACAAATAACCATATCACATATTCCTAATACATATAAGTGCAATTCTGCAACTCCTGTGTATAAACCTGGAACCTCACCTTCTCATCAGATACACATATACTCACTTCTCAAAATATATAAGACTAAGAGGCCCCTACTGAAAAATACAAATACACAGCACTAGCAGATATTCCTCCAAATGGCCATGCCCCTTGAATACACACACAAACTTACTTTACATACAACTCTCCACAAGCTCCAAACAGAACAATTACCCACTGCACTACAAATAAGCAAACATATAATTATATATACTCTCTTTCAAATACACATCCCACACTACCTGCATATGCATAACCCCACATTCCCAAACTCTCACACAGAATTAACTCTTCCATCCTGCATAACACAGTATCATACAAACACAACACACCTACATCTATCAGTTCCATAAAATAGCCACAGACCTTCCCCTACACAGCAAAAGATACATACACAGCTCCTGAAAATACACACACACAAACCACATAAGCCCTACAACATGCACAATGCACAAATGATATTCTGAATACACATATGATCATCCTACATTCCCCAAATACACAAACCAGATAGTATACCCAAAATAATGCACACCAGTCCTTTTCCTAACACTGCCCTTATACATATGCAAATCCATCATGAGACACACAGATATTCTCAAATTCATGGGTGAAAATGACACATGTAAAAAATATTCCCCAAATACCAAATTACAAACACCTAACCGCTAACTCCTTGAGTATGTCTCCGTTGAATCTCAACACCCTTCAAATACACTTCAAAGATTTACCTTACACAGTCTCACAAAAACAACTTCCCCTTATATACAAATATTCACAAACAAAACCAGCCCACACGTTTGACTACATATCAGATTCCCACCAACCGATCACATAGGAACCCCATCTATGCTTGCAAATCAATAATGAATTGACATCAGACTATGAATTGTTTATTACTACATTCAGCAAAGTTTCTTCCATCATGGACAAAAGAGTGCAGTTTGAACATTTGTGTCCAAATCAACTGAACAATCGATTGATGTCTTTACGTTAAAAATGAAGACACCAGTGAAACTATGGTTTCACTCACTTTCCACTTATTTTCCTACAACCCGTGCTAGTTCTTGGGAACCGATGAGGGCTTTCAAATGGGAAGAACTTCCATCTAGCTTTCGTACTCTTCAGAACACGTGGACAGAATGGCACCTGTTTAACGGCTCTCACACACCATTTATCCCACAACGTACGCCCACAGTCACCGAACCGTTCTTGCAGCCTGCTCCCCCATGGCCAACAACCCTGGAGTAAACTCCGGGAGTTGGTGATGGACAGGGAGGCCTGGCGTGCTGCGATTCATGGGGTCGCAAAGAGGCGGACACGACTGAGCGACTGAATGAACTGAACTGAAACACAGCAAAGGGAACTGAGCTCTATAGGGGCACGAATCCACATTGTGGGGAGTCTCCCCTACACAGACAAAGGCACAAATACCCCACAGGGTGAACAGCAGGCAGAGCGTGACACCCGCAGGTTGAAGGGGCCCTCCATCCCTTACCTCCATGCTGACTCTTGAGGCGGCCTTAAGAGGTCCGGCCCGCCGCTGGGACAGCCGTTGGGGCCCCGCCCTCCAAGCTCGCGCGTGCGCTCTTGTTTTCCAGAGCAGACCGCCTCAAAAGACCCTTGGAGGAGCCTTTAGACTACCGCCCTTCGAGTGCCCTAGAACCCCAGAGGACTTGTGGGAAAATGTCCTTTTAAGTCCCTGCTCGAGAGGAGAGAAATGGAGGGTCGGGGTATCCTCAGGAGCTTCTCTGGCTCTGTCTCCTTGCTGGGAAGCTTTGTGGTGCTCTCTTAAAACTAGCTCTTGTGAGATGAGCACTTGTGATTTTTAAATTGCACACGTGAAGTCCTTGCGCTTAGATGCAAAGAGTTTTGGAGAGCTCCAGCCTTATCACAATAGCCTCAAATTGGAGCAAGTGTTCTCATGACCTTCAGACTGCAGTTCCTTGCTTCTTGTTTATGCCTGTCAAAAACCAGTAGGTCTTTTTCCTAGCAAGCTGGGCGTTTCTGTTAAAGAACAATTCTAGCAAAGAGCTCTCAGACCTGGGGACACTCTTAAGATGCTTTCTCCTGATTCCATTCCTAGAGTTCTTCCAAATGCATATACTCTACTAGAATATTTTTTGTAGTGTATTTAATACATGGAGTTTTTTTCAGTAAATATTGAGTGTTTCCTTTGTAAAGTTTTTGTTGTAACCCTGAGTAAGATGACAATCTGGTTCAATTTAAACACAACAGGTATTAATACTATGGGAACAATTTTACTCTCCCCCCTTTTTGGTAATATATTGCAAAATTTCAGTTGGCAATAAAAAAAAATAAATAGTAGCAGAATCAACTTATTGACCTGACTTTGTAATGCTTGCCAAAGAAACCTCAATTAGCAAATCCTCTTTCTGGTCAATTGCAAGATTAGAGCATTTCTCAACAGAATGCTTCTGAAGATCCCTCATATTTAACAGTGCTAAGAGCTTCCAAATGCACAGACTTGAAAACTCCACAAGACACAAAAATTGTATCTCTTCCTGTCTTTAATGTTCCATAGGCAATGGCACCCCACTCCAGTACTCTTGCCTGGAAAATCCCATGGACAGAGGAGCCAGGTGGCTTACAATCCAAGGGGTCGCTAGGAGTTGGACATGACTGAGCGACTTCACTTTCACGTTTCATTTTCATGCACTGGAGAAGGAGGTGGCAACCCACTCCAGTGTTCTTGCCTGGAGAATCCCAGGGATGGGGGAGCCTGGTGGGCTGCCGTCTATGGGGTCGCACAGAGTCGGACACAACTGAAGCGACTTAGCAGCACCAGCAGCAGCAATGGTGTGGAAGATGAACTGTCTTCTGATGCTTGTGATCCATGTCCAGAGATACTTTTTCTCTGTAATCAATGCCTTCACCCAACATCTCTGCAGGAATAGTCAGAGATCATAATCTAAAGGAATTTTAGATACTTCCTTCCTTGTCTGGTTTTCCCAAATTATATTTGGGCTGATTTGATTAACTCTGTCTCTGGGGTGTAGTATTTTTAAGTAGTACAAAAATGATTGCAGAATTGAGATCAGATAATTTTTCCATAATGCAATTTTTGCATCAGTGGCCCTGAGAGGCCTCATTCAAATACTTTATCAGAGTTATAAGTGAAAATCTTGTAATTGGTTGAAGGACTGAACAGGAGAGGAAGCAACCAGAAAGCTTTCCTTTCTTGTATTCTGCCTCACCATCCCTCTAGCATCAAGTCTAGTACTGGTTGAATATCATTTAAGTTTTCCTTCATGATAAAAGTTCAAGTACTGAACCATATTTCCAAGTTATTTTTTCAGTCCCCAACAGGAGTTTCTTAATATAAAGTTCACCATGATATTACTTTAAATACTCTCACTTAATCTTCTCACCTTCTTTTGAGTCCATTTTTCCTTGCAAGTTGCAAGGAACTTCATAAGCACCAACAGGAGTCTTTTTTACCATATGGAACTGTCCTTCTAAACATTTCTTTCTTTCCCCAACACCCCACAATCCCTGCTATAGCAGGGAGTGACTCGTGTCTCCCAAGAGATGTGGTTGTAGTCCTCTGAAGTTTTCACCCTTCATATCCCTTGACAAGATTCCTAAAATCCTTTCTTCTCACAACACAAAAGGTGAATATTCTTTCATGTCATTTTGATAGTGATAAACTGACATTGATTCTCAATATGAAAATAAGAATCAGACAAATTATTTAAAAAGATAAGCTCCCATTATTTCCATGCAGGTGGGTCCATATCCAATAATGAGCCTAGGTTCTAAAGAGCAAGGGTATGTAATGCAGACAGGAAATTCACAGGCTTATAAGCAGGGTTTGCAGGCTAGGATTTAGATGGAAGTGGATTTATGTGAATGAGGATTGGACATTGCTAGATAAACTTTTGGCATTTCTCTCAAGGTGCACGTCCATTTCATGGGTAATATATTTTTAACATCTAGATGTGCTCTGAGATATTTAGTCCTTTAAACACAAGGAAAGAGAAGATTTTTTGCCTTCTTGTTCCTTACTTCTATCCTTAGTCCTACTAAGCCTAAACTTTCAATGCTATATGATGGCTCTTCTAAATCCATTTCATCCAGTCTGCAGATTTTGTGTGTTTGCAACTGTGTTTTGTGTTGGACCCAAGATGCTCACTTCAATCTCTTTACTCTCAGTTCTCTTTCTCATAGTGTAAACTGTAATTGCTCAGTCGTGTCCAACTCTTTGCAACACCATGGACTGTGCCTGCCAGGCTCCTCTGTTCAGGAATTCTCTAGGCAAGAATACTGGAGTGGGCTGCCATTTCCTTCTCCAGGGGATCTTCCCAACCCAGGGATCAAACCTGAGTCTCCTGTATTGCAGGCAGATTCTTTACTGAGTCACAAGAGAAAGCCCCTCTTTCTCACAGGAATGACTAATGAATAATAGCGTACTATGTTACACTTTTTTGGTAGTGTTGCCAGATAAAATACAGATTTCCAGTTAAATGCAAATATCAGATAATGAGGAAAATAATTTGCATAAAACTATGTCCAAAATATTGCATAGGGCACAACTAGACTAAAAACTAATTCATTGTTTATGCGAAATTCAAAAATCAAATTCATTTAGACATTTGTTATTTGTATTTGCTTGATCTGGTCATCCTATCTTTTCAGGTAATTTGAAATTTAAGAGACTGTAGAAATTCTTGTTCTAGGAATTAAGTCCAGAAACAGAGGAGCTGTAATACAAAATACAAAAACAATCATTGAAAATATACTTGGATATATTGGAACATATGTGAATTTTCAATCAGAAAAATAAACTGGAGACATTTTTAAAAATGAATATCAAGTACATTCATTTTTAGTTGCAAAACACATCTCTGGAAAGATTTTAATGAGACAGATAACTCTGGTTTTCTCTGGGAAAGAAGATTGAGTTGAAGTGGGAAAAAAGGTGGAAGTAGGACTTGTCACTGCATATTCCATTTCTCACAATTTGATTTTGAACCATGAGGAGGTATTACTTGTTTAAAGTATTATAATAAAATCATTTAAAAGATAAAAAACCAAATATTTAACAACAATGTAATGCTATGAGAAACACAGTGAATTCTGGTCTTAGACATGTGGGCTGCATGATGGTTTTTTGATAGATGGATGTTTTCCAACAAAAAGTATCATTAGTAAGGAAAGTCCTGCTGGATGTTGGTTGGGGCACAAGGACTGCTTCCTTAGGAATGATGTACATACAGCAACCAAACACCCTGCATCTGCTGAGACAATCCTAATTTCAAACTCTCACTTCCATGTGGCCATTAACACCCAAGGGCTTATAAGACTGACAGTTCTTCTGAACTTGTTCTGAAAGTCTAGGCTCTGTTGAAGTAAGTCAAGATCAAGTTAGGAAGCAGAATGAGTTGAGGGAGACAAAACTAGGTTGATGGATAAAGAAGTGAAATAAGTGCAAGATCAAGTCCGACCTTGGTGCTGTGAAACTGAGAAACAATTGATAAATTGCCTAAAGAGGCAGACACCAGTTGTGTCACTGCTATGTAATGTGGAAGGAAGGTTCTCACCTTCCTGCCAGAGCCGTTCATGGAATGTCTGCTCACCCCACCCAGGTCCACCTGCCCTCTGCCCCTCCCCCGCTGCAGAATGTTTCAGTTCCACATTCTACTGTTTGAATTCAAACATTTCCCTCCTTTACTTGGATGCTGAGCATCTGCTGGAGCAGGTCACTCTCTGGGTCTTGGTCTTGACTTTTCTCATTGAGGCTACCAGGCAGCAGTGGTCCGTGCCCAAGCCTGTGGGAATGGCTTCAGAAGGAGGTAAGCCTATAGGCTGCGGTTGTGTTCTCAGAGACCCTGCCATTTCTCAGACCTTTGAGTCCACATGTGACATTTCAGTGTGGGCACATGGTTGAACTAAAGTTGAGGAAGGAGAGAGCACTGGACCCATAAGGACATCTGGGGAGACTGAAGAGCCTGAAGAAACCTGGGGCTGCACTGGGGAGGAGGGTTCATTGAAAGTGGATCAAGGGAAATAGCGCTGGGTATGGAGAAAGGATGGCAGCAGGCAGGCTTGATTATTTCTAGGAAGAAGATAAGCCACTTTGAAACGTGTGTGTGGGAAGTGTGGGTGATCTCCTGGTGGTGACACGGGAAGCATCATGAGGAGGACCTAGCCCCATATTGTGTTTCTCAGGTACACAAAGCTTGCCCCCACCCCATGTCTTTCTGAGGGGTTTGGACTGGAGCATACTGTATCCAATGGGGCCATGGGGAGAGGTAGTCTTAGTAGAAAACTATTCAATGGGACTGCGTGTGGTCACACCTGCAGTGAGGTTTCCTCTCTGAGAGCTAAGCAGGCAGTTACTCCAACTGCTGCAGTCCAGACCTTCTCCACTCCTTCCAGCTCACAGCTCACATCTCAGTTCAGATAACAGTTGCCTTGGCTTTGTCAGGGCTGGGCATCCATGTAACTTTGACCAAGACAGGCCTCAGTTTCCCAAGATGTCCTAAACTGTTCTTCCTTTTGTGGAAAAGCAGTTCTTCAGACCTGCTTCATCTTGTCCAATATCTCATGGTGGACCTTCAGCATATCTTGAGATGAAAAGTTGCTTCATTTTTCACGTCACTCCTTTGTGGACAGGGAACAGATGTGGAGGGTGGTTAGTTCTGGTGGAATGTAAGTGAAAGCTGATTTCTTCTTTAAAGAGGATAAGGAGTGTAGCTCAGAGCAGGCAGACGATCTTCTCTGTTACGAGTAAAAGTCGTATGACACCTGTTTTGATTAATTAGATACACGTGGTATGTACCTTGTTCTCCTGAACAGGGATGTGTTCCAGACAACCTTATCACGATGGCACCTAAATCAGGCCTGTTTCTGTTTGTCTTCACTCTGTTATTGGGAACTCAAAGGGGAAGGACCCCAGGCAGTCTATACTCCCACAACCAATGTAACATGACCATTCCCGGGCCCTTGTCTAATCCTCTGTGAAATAACAGAATTTAAGGGACAGATGCCCACTTCTCAGACTCCCCACAGTTCCTACTAACAGAACTCCTAGAGTGATGACATGACTCTGGGCACTGGGACGGGGGTAGTATAACCTGGCTCATATTAACCATCTGCAGTGGTGGTTCTGATGTGCATGTTGAGCCAGTGTGTTATGGGTTTGTATCAGAGTTCCATTCGAGTGATATTTGCCATTATTTTTGTTTTGTGAGGCTTGAAAAGAGTGAGAGGATTTATACTGAGCACCAGGAAAAAGGAAGACTGAGGTGGAGGTGGGGCCCTAACATTTTAAACAATGCCTGTCCACAAAGGGTCTTTGGGTGCCTAGAACTTACCTTGGAGAAGATGCCCACTGGCTAGTGTACCTGCTGAGGGGCGTTTCTCACAGAGCACACGTCCACCCAGTTCTGGGTCTGAGAGACAGCCTGTGAGGTTTGGGTGCCAGGGAGGCTCGGAGAGCCTCCGAGTCAGCACTTGCTGAGGAGATTTCTTCCTGGCAGACAGGGCTCAGGGACCTTGGTGGCTAGGAGGGAGGTCACCAGTGGAATAATTCTCACCCAGAGGTCAGATCGTGAAAATCATTAGAAGAGACATGTCCATGCTGTACACACTATCCGGATGTCCTCATCTATTGAGATTTACACTCTGATTCTCTCCAGAGAGCCTCAGTCCCAATGAGAGAGTCATTTCCTAAGCAGGTTGATAAGTCTAGGGGTCCTCAAGGATAGAGGAGTCTGGAATTCTCAAGGAGGAAGAAAGGACAAACCCTTTTTCCCCCCTCTACATTCCTTAGGATTATATAACAATAATGCATCCTGCCTGAGGACAGTCTCTGGATTAAACCTTCTGGCTAATCCTGTTATCTTAAAATGTAATTTATGGGAGTAGGTCTGGTGAGGTCTTTACAACCTCCAGACATTCTTTTGATTCAAGAATCCTGGTGTCTTTTAGTGGTTCAGCAACAACCTTTCATCTGTTGCCCATTCTCCTCCTCCATTCAAATCTTTCCTTTGTCTCAACAGCATCTCCAGCGCTGGGAACGGATGTGACCTTGACCCGTGGTGCCTCCTTGCCTCCTTTCATGACAGTGCCTTTTCCTCCACCCATTCCTGGCCCCCAACACCGGCCACCCTGGGAGCAACACCTGCCACCTTCCATGACCCCGTCATTTGCTCCTGGCAGCACCCAGCTGCTGCCAGCTTTCCCCAGGACACCTTTGGTGCCCAATGCTGGCCCTGGCCCCAGTGCCCCTGGGGCTTGCAACATCATTATCCAAGTCAGGTCCGAAGGAAGGCCGGTGGAGCACCCCCAGACTCCGACCTTTGTCCTTACTCAGGCTCCCCTGAACTGGAGCACTCCAGGGCCCCTCAGCGGGAATACTGCATGTCCTGTCCCCCTATTCTTAACAACCCCTGCAATGGAGACCATTGTGACTGCCCCAGCTGTTGGAGTAGGTCAGTCTGGCAAGGGAAGCTGGACCCCAGGCTTTCCACCTCAAGCTCCACTACCAGCTGCCCAGCTGGCCCCCAACATTCCCCAAGTGAACTTGGGGCCACAGTCACATGGCACTTCCAGGGAGGGCAGCCTGGCCACCAACCAGTCCAAGGCCTCGCAGGATGACTCCTGTAACCCCAACAGCGTGTATGAGAACTTCCGACGTTGGCAGCGCTTCAAGTCTCTGGCCCGGAGACACCTTCCCCAGAGTCCTGATGCTGAAGCTCTTTCCTGCTTTCTCATGTGAGTGAACAGCCAGGGGGGTCATGAGGTTATCAGAGCTTTTAGATAAAAAGGAACTGGGGGTGGGTACTCAGATTAGGTTTCTAGGGATACTGGGAAGAAAGTCTGAGGGTGATGTCCCTGAGAAGGCACATTTTGGTCCTACACATTACCATGCAAGTTCCTGACATCCTTTCAGTACCTTATCTCAGTTACCTCACCGCCTTGTGAGTACAGCCAACTTGGCCTTCCATGATGCTCACTATGAAGTGTTAGCAGACTGCCTGGCATGTGCCATGCATCACTGTTGATAGGGATTTTTATAGTGAAAAGGCAATCTTGCGGAGGAAGGAGCCCTCACAAGGCTCCCTGTCCCAGCCTTAGCCTGGGAATGGATGGTCATCCTCCAGTGAGCGTGAGGCGGAGATGGCAGTAGCAGTAAGGCTTGTCCTTGCTCTCCCAGGCCTGCCTCTCACCCTCCTGATGCTCAGTCATGCTATCTTGGGTTATGTGGTCCAAGTTGCTGGGTGGAATCAGATGGGTGGGGACTGGGCTGGACTCTGAAACAGACCCTGATGGCTTACAGCCCAGTGCTTCGGTCCCTGGCTCGCCTGAAGCCCAGCATGACACTGGAGGAGGGACTGTGGCGGGCTGTGCAGGAATGGCAACACAAAAGCAACTTTGACCGGATGATCTACTATGAGATGGCCAGAAAGTGAGTCAGCATCCTGGGCCCTAGAGCTGTGTGCTGGGTGAGAGGGGTGCGTGAGGGCTAGACCCCAGGTCAGGGTCTGGCTGTGGGCATGCTCACTCAGCACAGGGCCCCCACAGCCCAGATGCCCTACTTCCCTCCAGAACCCCTCCCTCACCTTGAGAGTGTGGGTCTTCAGTACTTCCTCCACCAGGACCTCTGATCTCCCCTGATGGTGACCTACTTTTGGCTTGACATGAAGGTCTCAGGATAGGGTGGAGTAAAGCTTTGAGCCCCAGAGGGGTCCAACCCCAGCCATAGAGACTGTGCAGGGGCATGCTTTCCACCCACCAGCCTGCTGCTTCCTTGGTCGTGGGTGGCTGACAGCCACTGACATAGAATTTGGGACCCCCTCTTCTCATGAAAAGAGGCCGAAGTGGGTACTCTGACCTCCCTGAAGAAGCTGGGAAAGCCAGCATGTCATCAGCCCAAGCATCTCTGGCTGTTCCAGTATTTTCTCCATGGCAATCCTTTTAGTTTAAAAAATATAACCAAACAAACAGACATCTCTCAGAGGAAAGGAAAGCCTCTCCTCTAAGCTTAGCGGCCAAATCCTCCAACCCTTCCTGGGCCCTGTCTCCAGGACTCTCAGCCCCTGTCCAGGGTCCTGGATTCAGCAAGGACCACTCTGGGGACATGTGCCTGATTCAACCTCTGGCCATCAGCCCTTCATATAGTTCTGGACAGGAACGGGGGCATGAGGAGGGTCCCCTGTGGGTCTGCCTGTGTCCTGAGGCCCTGGTTCAATTCAGCAGCCTCTGTCTATGCTCTTGAGTGCCCTGCAAGTGCTGGTGGGGCAGGAGGAGTCCCAGACGTCGAGTCAGTTCCAGGAGAGCCCTCTGCTGGGAATAGTACCTCCCAGGGCCTTGTCCACCCTCTCCCAGCCCCTCATTCTGTTGCCTTTGTTCCCGGCTCCAAAGGCCAGGCCTCTTTCTCAGTGTGCCGTATGCCTCCATCACTCCCAGGTTCATGGAATTTGAGGCTGAGGAGGTGATGCAGATTCAGAAGTTACAGTGGATGCAGGGGGTGCAAGGCCTGCCTCCTCCAGTCCCACCAAAGCTGGATCCTCAGGGGTCCTCAGCCCCGAAAGTGTGCCCTCAGCCAGGCACCCATGTTCCCGCCGGAGTTCAAAGCAAAGGTAACGTGGGCCAAGGGATGACCACTGGCCCCATGTGGATCCTTTTCCTTCAAGAGGGTCATTGGTCTTTCAACCAGAACAGCCAGTGAGACAGGGTCTTCAGTCGTCCTTTGTCACTACAGGGTATTATCTCCATCAGTTTAATAACTCCTCTTCCACCTCCCTGTCAAAAGACCCCACACAAAGTCCGCTGAAGAAGTGGGCTTGTTGGGGATACCCTGAAGAATCAAGGTTCCACATTCCTCACAGGACTCTCTTAGATGGCCTCCACCCCCTCCCACTGTGCATGAGGCTTCAGGTGGTGCTAACCCTGCCCACACCTAAGTCACTGACCCCCAAACACTGCCCTCACCAGCGCCTGCTCAGTGGTCAGGAGGTGGATGCAGAAGCCCCTCATCTTCCTCCCCTCTTTCCTGCTCTGCCTCAGCCAATGCTCCCCGGAAGGCCGGCTCCCGGGCCCGTCCCACCCGCTCGCAGCCACACAGATCCCAGCGGCACCCAGGGCCCAAGGCACCCAAAGAGATTCCCCCTGAGGCTGTGAGAGAGTATGTGGAGATCATGGAGGCGCTGGTGGGGCCCATCCACTCGGCCATGGACAAGTCAGATGCAGAATGTGGAGAGGATGGAAATGAGCTGAACCAGGAAGAGGAATGGACTTATGGAGACCCGGATCTCCTGAGCTACATTGACAAGCTGTGTTCCCAGGAAGACTTCGTCACCAAGGTGGGCTGGGCATGGAGCCTGGGGTCTATAAGATTCCAAGGCATGGAACTCTCAGCACCCAAGATCTGGGTTCTGCCCAGGCCAATGGGACTGAAGCTCTGTTCCTTGAGCTGTGTGTTCATGTACTTCGTCTGTTTGTCCATATGCACATGTATGAGTGTTCATGTTTGTGTCTGTCTGTGTGTATGCCTTCATATGTCTGTGTAGGTACATGTGTATATGTGCTTTTTTATTGGAGTATAATTGCTTCACAATGTTCTGTCAACTTCTGCTGTATAACACGTGAATCATCCACATGTATACGTATATCCCCCACCCCTCACTCTTGAGCATCCCTCCCACCCCCACTTTCCACCCTTCTGGGTCTTCACAGAGCACCAAGCTGAGACTTCCTGTGCTTCCCATTAGCTACTTATTTTACATATAATGTGCGTATATGTCAAGGCTCCTCCCTCAGTCCGTCCCACCCTTCCCTTCCTTTTCCTTTTTTCCTTTCCCTTTCCTCTTCCTACTTGTATGTCTACAAGTCCATTCTCTCCATCTGCACCTCTGTTCCTGGCCTGCTACTAGGTTCATCAGGACCATTTTTCTAGATTCCACATATATATATGACTTTTTTTTTTTCTCTTTCTACTTACTTCACTCTGTATGAGAGGCTGTAGTTTCATCTGCACCTCTACAACTGACTCACATTCATTCCTTTTTAGGGCTAAGAAATATTTCACTGTAAATATGTACTGCATTTTCTTTATCCTTTTATCTGTTGATGAACATCTAGGTTGCTTGCTTTCCTGGCTATTGTAAATAATGCTGTAATGAACATTGGGGCTTCTGTGTCTTGTGGAGAAGAGTATGGCAGTTCCTTTAAAAACTAAATATACAACTACCATATGACCCAGAAATCCCACTACTGGGCATATACTCTGTATATGTACTTTTTTATGCCTGTATGTGTATGAGCATATTTGTGTGTGTGTGTGTGTGTGTGTGTGTGTGTGTGTACCATGACAAGTTAAAACATCCCATCTTGTGGAAGAGAACAGGAGTGGGTCTCTACTTTTCACTTTCCTCTAGGTCTTCTTGGCTCCCAGGCCATTCCTAGCCAAGGATGCTCACAGCCTTTTCCTCCTGTTCCAGGTAGAGGCAGTCATTCACCCTCGATTCCTGGCAGACTTGCTTTCCCCAGAACCACAACTGGATCCCTTGGCACTAGCTGAGGAGCTGGAGCAGGAGGAAGGCCTCACCCCTCAGGAGGTGAGCAGGGGAGGGAGGGATTCTTCTGGAGCCTATGGGTGGGGACCCCATGTGACACAGGGGAGCCAAGGGAGGGAGGAATCCCAGGTAGCACAGGGGAGACAAAGGTCTCCCAGGTAAACCAGGGGGTGGGGGACCCTGGTGAGCAAGGGAGACATAGAACCCCAGAGCAGGAGGCTTCCACGGCTGTGTCCATCCCTCCCCTGCCTGGGACATCTGGCCTGGAGGAGAGTCCGCTCTGGGGTAGGTGCAGTGCTGGGTGATAGGAGGGAGAGGATAGGGAGCTGGGGCGGGTGATGGGGGAGGGAAGGACACAGCTGGGAACGAGGAGCAGGAGACCAGCAGGAACACCACAGTGTCTATATTTGGATTTGAGTCTCAGGATCGCCCCTCCTCTCCGCCCCACCCAGGGCCATGTCCCTCTGCCCAGTGCTGCTCCTCTCACATGTGGGTGTGCAAAGCAGTCACTGCCCTCTTCTCTCCTACCAGCTGGTGCAGAAACGACTCCTGGCCTTGAAGGAAGACAAGGGAGTGCGGACCCCCAGCAGTCAAAGTGTACCCCGAGTGGGCTCAAGTCCTTCTGAGTCCGACGCCAGCAAAGAGGCCCAGAGACATGACCAAGGCCCCCAGCTAGGGATCAGTCATGAAGCCAGCCCACCAGAGGTTGATTTCGAGGCTGTTCACAGGTTCAGCCAAGCAAACACTGGCCTGTCCAGAGCCAAAGACCTTGTTCCCTCTGCAGGACAACAGGAGTTGCCTCCATTCCAACCAGGACAACCCTCCCCTCCCCAGGGTCAGAGGTGCACTGGCCCTCAGCCCGGACCCAGGGATACCTCAGTTCTCAGAACGGCCTCTCCAGTTCTGGGGGCCCAACGGCCCAGGGACGGGTCCAGCGAGGATGAGGAGGAGCTCCCCAGCCTGGCCTTCCTCTTGGCCTCGCAGCACAGCCTGCTGCCCTGGGGGCTGTCCCAGAGTCCTGTCCCTGCCTCAGGCCAGGCCTCCTCCTCTCAGAGAATAGGCCTCAGCCCAGCTCCTCTGGCCGCTGCCAAGTCTAGGAAGCCAGCTCTGTGCGGAGGCCCAGATGCTGTTGAGATGCTGCCCAGCCCGGGGGCTGGCCTCGGGGTCTCTGAGAGGCCAGCCTTGGCTCTGGGAATGGTTGACCCCTCACAGCTGAGAAAGCGAAAGTGTGACCCGTTTGTCACAGGGAAGAAGAGGAAGCGGCTTTGCAGCCAGTAGGGAACAGCGGGCCAGCCCCAAGGGGAGCCTAGGGCTCCTCAGCTCATGGGCGATCCTGGATGCTCTTGGGGGAAGGGACTCCAGGGCAGGGAGGGGGTTGGGGTTGTGGGAAGTTCGAGAGGTGGGGGAGGTGGATCTGGGTGGGCGTGGGTGGCAGCGGGATCCTTGGAGAGATGTATGTAAAATGTGAATAAATGCAGTTTTGTTGGGAAATGCTCTTGGGTCAGTGTCATCTTATTTGTGTCTGCTCTGCTCCACAGAGGGGGTCCTGACAGGAGGGAGCTCACAGATGCTGTGGGTCTCCAGGTGGCCAAGTCTTTCCTCCACACAGATAGGGACTCCTCAGGCGGCTCCTGGGAGCTCTCAGCTCTCATCCTCCACAGGGACACCCTCGTCATCCCCTTCTCTAAAGCCAGCTTGGCTCGAAACCTTTGGGACATCTGTACTGGCATCTGCATCCCTGGACCATCTGGGGATGGAGAGCTGCTGTCCTGCCCTCAGCCCTCTGGACACTAAGCAGTTTCCAGGATGGAGCCTGGAGACAGATTTTGTCTTTAGGGAGCTTCTCTCTGCTTCCTGAAGCAGCCAGATGAAGGGGCTGGGCTGATCCTCTGCTCATCCAGGGTTTCCTGTGTGGTGGCCTGACCAAAGAGGAAGAATCTCGGCCATGGGGCCATATTGTCTGCCTCTCTGCCTGGCTGGAGGGTGAGCATCCTCCTGTCCCAGTGGGATTACTGCAGTGTGGAGAGTGGTGGAGGCAGCTACCTCTTAGGCCCAGTGAGGATGAAACAGGAGAAATGGGTGAGAGGAAATTCATGGGGTGCCCATTAAAGATGTATATAAGGAAAATGACAACTGGGCCCCTTTCTGGAATTTATGGGAATTTTGTACAGGAGTGTCTTGTTCAAGGGAGGGAGGGGACCCATCTTGCTGTGGCTATGGGGACCGACCTTAGGGGCCCGGGGTTCTGCAAAGTCATCCCACAACTACTGTCCCTTCCCTTGCCACCCATGGCTGGACAGGTGTGTGTATTAGGGTCGACACGGATCTGAATTCACACATGAGACAGTTCCTCCTAACAACATATGGCTCCGGGAATCTGGCCTTGAAGGCCAGCAGGATTTGATTATAGGACTTCCACAGGCCTGGGGGAACAGCCACTCCAGTCTTGGAAGGCATAAACAAAATCTTGTGCGCACCAAGACCCAGAGGAAAAGAGCGGTGATCCCACAGGAGACTGAACCAAAACTACCTGCTATTGTTGGAGGGTCTCCTGTGGAGGCATGGGTGGTAGGGGCTCCACCATTGTATCATTATTAGTCAAAAGAAAAATAATGGAATTCTGTATCATCAAACCTACCTTTAATAGAAAAACCTGTAATGACTTTTCATAATCCAGATGCATATCAGAATTATCTTGGAAATTTTTGAAAAATACAAATACTCAAGCATTGCTTTTTAAAATTTTTTTGCCAGAATTTCAGATATGTTTCTAATGAACATTCAGTTCAGTTCAGTTCAGTCGCTCAGTCATGTCTGACTCTTTGAGACTTCATGGACTGGGGCATGCCAGGCCTTCTTGTCCATCACCAACTCCCGGAGTTTACTCAAACTCATGTTCACTGAGTTAGTGATGCCATCCAACCATCTCATCCTCTGTTTTCCCCTTCTCCTCCCACCTTCAATCTTTCCTAATATCAGGGTCTTTACAAATGAGTCCATTCTTTGCGTTAGGTGGCCAAAGTATTGGAGTTCCAGCTTCAGCATCTGTCCTTCCAATGAATATTCAGGACTTATTTCCTTTAAGATGGACTGGTTGGATCTCCTTGCTGTCCAAGGGACTCTCAAGAGTCTTCTCCAACACCACAGTTCAAAAGCATCAATTCTTCAGCACTCAGCTTTCTTAATAGTCAGTTCTTGCAGCCATACATGACTACTGGAAAAGCCGTAGCTTTGACTAGATGGACCTTTGCTGGCAAAATTATGTCTCTGCTTTTTAGCATGCTGTCTGGGTTGGTCATAGCTTTTCTTCCAAGGAGCAAGTGTCTTTTAATTTCAAGGTTGCAGTCACCATCTGCAGTGATTTTGGAGCCCAAAAAAATAAAGTCAGCCACTGTTTCCCCATCTATTTGCCATGAAGTGATGGGACCAGTTGCCATGATCTTAGTTTTCTGAATGTTGAGCTTTAAGCCAACTTTTTCTTTCTGCTCTTTCACTTTCATCAAGAGGCTCTTTAGTTCTTCTTTGCTTCTGCCATATGGGTGGTGTCATCTGCATATCTGAGGTTATTGATATTTCTCCCGCAATCTTAATTCCAGCTTGTGCTTCCTCCAGTCCAGCGTTTCTCATGATGTACTCTGCATGTAAGTTAAATAAGCAGGGTGACAATATACAGCCTTGACATATTCCCTTCTCTATTTTGGAGCCAGTCTGTTGTTCCATGTCCAGTTCTAACTGTTGCTTCTTGACCTGTATACAGATTTCTCAGGAGGCAGGGCAGGTGATCTGGTACTCCCATCTCTTGAAGAATCTTCCAGAGTTTGTTGTGGTCCACACAGTCAGTCTTTGGCAGAGTCAACAAAGCAGATGTAGATGTTTTTTTGGAACTCTCTTGCTTTTTCGATGATCCAACAGATGTTGGAACATATCTGGGCTATATAAGGCTCTTTTATCTAGTTTGCTTCACTTTTTTCATTTCATATTCAAGACTCCCATTTCATTTAGTCTATGTTTTCTAATTTCTCCATTTCTTCTTTTTTCTCAGTGTTCTTCCTCAAGCCTTTATTAAAGGCTTGATAGAAAAGCTCTTGTATACATAGATATAAATAATATGTATAATATATATATTTTAGAAAACTTACTAGTTTTTGCCTAACTAAAAAATTTACAACATTTTGATTCCACTTGTTCGACTTAGTATAAATAGAATGCTAGTTTTCTAATTTAAAAAATAAATATGTAACAAGCAGCAAAGTTTTACTGTATAGCACAGGGAATTATAGTCAATATGTTATGATAACCTATAATGGAAAATAATTTTAAAAATAATATATGTGTATATGTATAACTGAATCATACACAAAAAAGAATTCCACTTTTTGAAATTTAGTAATGTTTATCTTTTGTCCAGTTTTTCTCACCATCCTATGAACATCTAATAGCAACATGTGAGATACAGAATTTTAAGTTTGTCTGTATAAGATATAAGATTAACATAAATCAATATAAATAGAAGTCTATTATATTCAAATTATTAATGACATCATTCAAGATGCTTCTATTCTTATTTTTATACACTTGATAAAATATTCTCAGAGAAATGTGAGTATGCCTTGCTATGATTATATATTTTTTTTCTTTTCTATTTCTTCTAATTTTTACCTTACGTATCTTTGTGTCTTTGTTGTTAGGCGCTGAATGGTTTATGATGTCTGTCTTCTTTGTGAGTTGTACCTTTTATCATTAAAAATATTCATCTTTGTTTCATCTAAAACTAAATAAATTTATACAGTAAAAAAAAAGATCAGAACTTAGAGATTTGGAAAATTATCAGCCTATCTATATTTCAAAGTGAGCAAGCTTGTTCTGAAGAAAACTCTAAGGGTATAGCTGAGCACCCATTTGAAGATGAGATCATGGATGTGGCTTGTTAATTTAATCAGTCTTCGGGATTAGGTAGAGAAGGAGGTGGGAGGGAGGATCGGGATGGGGAATACATGTAAATCCATGGCTGATTCATGTCAATGTATGACAAAACCCACTACAATATTGTAAAGTAATTAGCCTCCAACTAATAAAAATAAATGAAAAAAAAATCAGTCTTCTCAACAGAGACCAAGGATAGGGAGGGATAAACCAGCAGAGACTTTACTGCCGCTTTGAAAGAAAGGGGACAGAGAAAGCCACTGTGAAATGAAAATATCTCCTGCCATATTAATCAACAAGCAATGTCACAGCCATCAGTAGTTTCTAGCCTCCAAATGTGAATGAGAGTTCCCCAAACTGGGATCCAGTGACGCTGCCACCTCCACCCCCCACCCCATGGTGATTGCTGAGGAGCTGGGGGAAGGCAAGAAGCAAGGTGAACAAGGAAACAGGATTGGCCCTGGATAGCTGAGGTGTGGTGGTGATCAAAACCATCCCCAAGAAAAGGCAAAATGCCAAAATGGTTGTCTGAGGAGGCCTTACAAATAACCGAGAAAAGAAGAGAGAGGCAAAAGAGAAAAGCAAAGTTATATCCATCTGAATGCAGAGCTCCAAAGAATAGCAAGGAGAGATAAGGAAGTCTTCCTAACTGAACAATGCAAAGAAATAGAGGAAAACAATAGAATGGGAAAGACTAGAGATCTCTTCAAGAAAATTAGAGATATCAAGGGAATATTTCATGCAAAGATGGGCACAATAAAGAATAGAAATGGTATGGACCTAACAGAAGCAGAAGATATTAAGAAGAGGTGGCAAGAATACATAGAAGAACTGTACAAAAAATCTTCATGACCTAGATAACCACAATGGTGCAGTAACTCACCTAAGGCCAGACAGACATCCCGGAATGCAAAGTCAAGCATAGGAAGCATCACTATGAACAAAGCTAGTGGAGGTGATGGAATTCCAGCTGTGTGATAGCAACCCAGCTTGCACATTCAAGGACTTCTCAGGGGGTACTAGTGGTAAAGAACCTGCCTGCCAATCCAGGAGACATCATGCTGTACATTAGCTCCTCAGACTTTATTCCTTCATTCTGTTTCTTATTTTATAATAGAAAATTTGTATCCATTTGCCAACCTGTTCTCATTTCCCAACTAGCTGCAGACAACAATTTCAACCCTCTGTTCTGTGATTCTTTTTTTTTTTCCTTTTAGATTCCATACATAAGTGATACTGTCAGGCTTACTTCACTTAACATAGTGTTCTCCAGGTTCATTCAATGTTCTTGAAAATGTCAGGGTTTACTTTGATTAAGGCTGAATAATATCTCATTGTGTATGCTATGTATGTGCACTTGTGTGTATCACCTTTCTCTATCCATTTATCCACTGTAAACAGACCTCTGACAAACCC